TACCCCAGCCTGACCTCAGCTGGGGGGGTGTCCCGTTTGCAAGCAATCCCACTCCCAGCTCTGAAGCCTGAGGAAGCAGCCCCCAGGCATGGGGGGGCAGGATGTGCTGAATGCTGGCGGTCCACAGGTCATGGAGGGCAGAGGGTGAGAAGCGCCAATGGCGATGTCCGGGGTCAAACCCCGCAAGGTCTCCAAATGAAGCCTGGACATGGGCTCAGGTAGAGAAGGCGGACAGCCTCTGGGATGGAAGGGGGGCTCTGCTGAAGCCGGAGCAACAGCAGCAGGAAAGGACCAGGCCGAGCCTCTCCACTCCCTGCCCGGAAGGCAGCAGCAAAAAGCTGAGGCTGAAAGGCTGACCCCCGCCAGCCCCCCCATAACTTCGTCTTGGAGCTGAGGAGCTGAACTCCTGACGCTGAGGCGCCCCGGAACAGCTTCCCCTTAGCACCCCAGTCACCCAGGAGCTGCTTCACGGACTAGCCCCTCCTCCTGAGAATTACCCCAGGGTGGGGTGGAGTTCACACTGGGACCTGATGGTGTCAGCTGAGTGGCGTTTGCCCCCCTACCACCGGTGCCAGGCGGGCCATCTGCCCTTCTCCCTTTGGTACCCACCCCGCAACCCAAGAACACCATACCTGGCAGGCTACTGGCTTGGCCCGTGGATCAAAGATGCGCAGCTTTTTATCCTGTGGAGCAAAACAGGGGCCCGAGGGTCAGCAGCTCAGCCCTCACCCTGGGGCCAGTACCCAGAATCCACCTCCCATCAGCCAGGGCCCCAGAAAACATGGGGAGGGGTGACTAATCCCAGACCTGCTGCCAGCAGATCTCCTCCTCGTGCTCTGGCCTTTGGGGAAGTGTCCACTTCTGGCCTGACGGCAGGGAGTGGGGGGTGGCCAGGCTGTGGCAGCAGCCCCCCCCTTCTGGCCCGACCGATGCCACGCCGGGTCCCAACGAGGCTGCAGAGCAGGGCCAGGCAAGGGGGATGCAACTCCTCGCAGCACATTCTCCTTCTGGCCCTGGCACTCTGTGGTTGTGGAGGGGGACAGGCCTGGGGACCCCCCGGGGGAAATGCCACGCCCCCCGGGGAAAGGCTGCTTCTTCCCAAACTGGAGCCACGAAGGCACCCAGGGGCCTCTCCCGCTTCCAGGGCAAGAGAATGCAGGCACAGATCCCAGTCTGATGCTCCACTAGATGGCAGCCAAGGGCAAGCGGCCACAGGAGGCCACGCTGGGCGGATTGTGGCCATCTCTGACTTTCCAGCTGTGCATCTCTCTGGCACAAATGCCACTGCCTGGAGCACAGCGCCCCCTGGTGTTCACCTGCAAGACAGGCAGCAGGAGCAAAGTGAGCACCAGGCCTGCTCAGAAAAGCCCAGAGCAGCACGTGGATGGGTCCAGCTCCTTGTTCTGGCAGGGGCCCTTCCTGAAAAGGCCTAGAGCGCTCTGTGGGGATCAACCTTCCCTGCCAACCCAGGGATCTCTGCTTCCCCACAGCACTCACCTTGCAAGAAGTGCCCAGGAGCGATCCATCTGGCTTCCAGGCCAAACTCTGCACCTGGTTCTGGTGAGGCTCCAGCTCTGAAGGGAAGAACAAAGCAGGTCTGGTATTGTGGGAGGAGTCACCAAATGAGCCCATCAACCTGCAGGCAGGCATCCCCCCCAAACAGGAGCCTGTCACGCACCTGGGTTCCCTGCCCCTCCTGACCCCCAAAAGCAGGGCAGGACAGATGCAAGCAGCTAACGTCAGCCACGTACCATTATAGCTACCTGGCAAGCGGTACGCTAGCCTGGCCGGCGCTGAGCTGCCCTCTCAAGAGGTGTGCTGGACTCCATGACCTGCCGGGCACGTGCTTGGGACCACCCGGATCATAAGGGAAGGCTCCCCCGCCTAAGGCTGTTGATGACTGCAGCGCCATGGCACGAGGGGGCTCATGCTACGTTCCAGGGAGGAGCCTTCCCTCCACCCTGGATCTCTCCAAGCCACAACGATTAACCTTGATTTACTGAGTAAGCCACAACTGGCTGGGCTTGCACAACATGCAACAGGGGTCACCTCTTTGCACAGAGACAAAACTGAGCAAACTTAATTATTGCTCGGTTCCATCTGGGTCGTTTCATCCTGTCCCGAACTCCTGTGGCAAGGAGGCTTTTCCGCCTTCCGCCCCTCCTTCCCGCAAAGGAAAGTGGAGCGGAGTCAGCCAGGGCACTTCTCTCTCGTAGACAGGTATTCTGGCCAGGTGAGATGCTCATGGCATCCTTGGGGCATATGCAGCAGGGCACGTGTTTTGACTAATCTCGCCTCTAAGGGGCAGGTTCAGCAGCAAGTGCCACTGAACTGGTCCAAGGAAAAACGTGAGGAGCTGCACGAGACGCCCTTCTCAGCAAGGCAGCAGCTCTGGGCAATCCCAAAAGTTGCCGTCAAACCTACTGCTGCTGCTAGAAGGTACACAAGCCCTGCCGGAAGGGCTCTCGGCAGACAAAGCCCTCTCTGTCCTCGGAATGGAAAACGCCCCTCCGTCTGCAGCTGCCTTCTGAAATCGGAGTGGCAGTGCCTGGACGGAAAGCTGCCGCAGGGCTCGCAGGCGGTTGCTACGCAACAGGGCTCGCCGTGGTTCTCGCTTCTCGCGCCTGGCTTCTCTTGTTGCTGCAACTGAGACAGCTCCCTCCTCCTTCCCTTGCGGAGCTCTGAGGGTCATCTGCCACCCTCTTTCTGCCACCTTCCCCCCAGCATCGATCCATGCCGTGCAGGCAGCAGCCCCAGAGGACTGGCCTGTGGATGCTCCAGGAAGGGAGGCAGACCCGGCTGGTCATCTGAGCTCTGTGCTGCTTCCACAACAATTTGGCGGGTTCTCTGGGGAGGACCCACTGCCCGGGGGGAGCCTTGCCGGGCGTGCAGGAGTATCTTCTGGTGTTTGCTTGGGGACAGGTGAAGGGAACAGATTGGGGGAGAACAATGGGGTTTGCCTGGGCTAGAGGGCCCCTCCCTTTTCCCCCAGGGCCATTTGGCTGCATCCAGGATCCCTGGCATCTCCTTCCCCACCTTCTGGGGGGGATCAAAGGATGCCCACTTACAACCGTACCAGTAAGGTTCTGTCGCTGCTCCACATCCCAAATCTTCACTGTCCTCCCAGCTGCGCTGGCCAGGAGGCCATCTGCTGTGGGGTGGAAGAGAAGCACCTCCACCTGGCTCCCCTCTGATCCCAGCGTCACGTGGGGGGAAGACGAGAGGTCCTGGCCAGACTCACGGAGACGCCACACCTTCACCTGTGGGCAAGAGACCGCCGGGCAATGCTCAGCTGGTGACTTTGTGCCACGAGAAGCTCAGCATTAGCTCTCAAGAGCCAGGAGGATGCCAGGCTCCCTTGGTGGGAGGGCTGTGGCCAAGGGGCAAGGCTTTGGCTAAAGTACTTTGGCGCCATCACTCTTTCACCTTGCAGAATGTGCACACATCCCCCCTCCCACGGCAGCCTTTGTGTCAAGGCAGCATTGTGGCCTTCAATGCTCAGAAGGGTCTAGTTTGTACTCCAAAGCTCCCACCCCATAGTTCTGGGCCCACCAGAGACACCCCCCACCCCCCCAACATAACCAACCCAAAGGCAGGACCAGGTTTTTCACCAAGGCCTACTTAACGGAGGTGCTAAGGTCCCAAAGGGTGGCAGAAACGTAGCAATGGGACAGGAAGGGTAAACCTGGGGATACCGTATGGGAAGCTGGACATAAGCTCCCCCAAAACATGCGACTGGGAGTGGAAAACCAAAATTCCATCTGAAGGACCTCCATTGGGTCCCCGTGTTGCGCATCGCCTTCATACTGAATATACCTCTTCTGAAGGGACCTGACATCCTCGCAAAAAACAAAACCTGGCTTGGCACCCGCTTGGTCCACCTTGAGACTGGCTCTTGTGTTGCCACGCTGACACACCCTTCAACCCCCAAGCTGCTTGCATGCCCTCGCCAAGACCTGGGCAACCTGTCCCCCGCCTGTCCCCACACAGAGCCAGGAGCAGCTCTTCCAGGGAAGGGGTCTTGGGGTCGAAGCTGCGCAATGGATGCTGCACTTACAACTTCATCTGCGGAACCGGTGGCCAGGAGTTGCTGGTCAAAGGGAGAGAAGTCGAAGTCCGTTACCACATCTGGGGGGAGAGAGAGCAGCTTGTCGTTAAGCTCCTAGAGAGGGACGGCACCCAGAGGACCGGTGCCAGCACGGTCAGAAGCCTGCTGCCCATGGCCAGCCGTCTATTGCAGTCACAGGGCCGAGGGGTGCCGCTTCTCCTCAAGGAACTACTTCCCAGCAAGTGGGGGCGGGGACAGCCAGGAGGATTTGAACTGGAGACCCTCAAATCCCTTAAAAGGGTTGCGATAACTGCTTTTCCTTCCCAGCATCTGCAGTAAAAGGGTCGCTGTGGCGCCGTGCCCTTGATTCTCCAGCTGGGAGCTCCCGGGTTCAGGCTGGACGGAGGGAGCCTGAGGCCTCTGCAAATGCCAGCAGACGCAGCCCTATCACATCTGAAAGTTGCGTTTCCTGCTGCAGCTGCAGAACCAACTGGGTTTGAAGAAGAGAACCGCCCCAGGCCTCTTTAATCATCCCAAGCAAAAGAGAAGGAGGCCCCCTTCCTCTGTTCCTGTGCAAAGCTCCCTCCTTTAGCAGCCATTGCCAGCCAGCTCGCCCCCCCCCCCACAGTCCTTCCTCTGTGGCCAGTCAGTCTGGTGCCAACTGACCCTCCCTGCTCCACCCAGCGGGATGAAACTGCCTTATTGTCCCA